CCGGTCGCGCGATTTACTTTCATGACTTATCGCTTCTTTCTAATTTATTTATTAAAGAGATATTTCTTTTTAATGACAAACGGGAGCGGGAAAGCCAGAAGTGAACGCATAAAATTTGGTACCAGAAGCCAATAGGCCGTGCACATAAATCACCTTGAAATAAAAAATGTGAGTGTAAAGAAGTAAAAAATTTATACAAAATATTGCAGAGAAAGCCAAATGGACTTGAGGTGACAGTGAATGGTAGACAGTGTGTTTACGTCACAGTGTAAGTTGTTGTGAAATATGTATGTATGTATGTAGGCATTGAACGCCTGCGATTGTTGTTGGATGTAAACAAAAATTTTCCAAAGAATAAATCGATATACCTACCCGGGAATGGAAACACGTTGTGCAATGTAAATGTGTGATTCTATTCTATCTACATATCTCAAGGTGCGCTGCAATCGTACAAACGCACGCACACGTATGCATATACGAGTATGTACACATGCACATAAGTACGCACATGATTATTTTCACATTGAATCATTCGCGTGCTCCCAGTTTTGTTTTTGTTATCTGTAGCCCCTTGGCCCACAAACCAAAAGTTTGCCGGTTCCATAAATTCAAGTTCAAAGTGCTTGTGTGTGTGTGTGTGTAAATGTGTTGCGTTGACTAGAGAATTTCCACTTTCTCTGAGCATGAGAATGCATTAATGTCAAATTGATAACAGCTTGTCAGTGGGTAAGAAGATATTTAGGTACATACTTCCATATATATTTACTTGTTGGCATGACAACGCTAGTTTAAAACTAAATATGCTCAAAATATGTTCATATGTACGTAAGTATGTGATGAAAAAATTTTATAATGCTCCGACGTAGTAAAAGAATTTTGTTCAGTGTCTAAATACAACTCTGTGTTAGTGTTTCATATTCTGGACATGAGATGGCGCTATTTATTTTAAACGTCGCTAATGGGCTACAGAGGGCGCGCGCTGCTGTGCCAGAATACGAGAGTAGCCTGATAAGTTTCTAAGAAATTATCAAAAAGAAAACAGTTTTTTGAGTGTATCAGCTGACAGGTTTTCAGTCATATTCCTATTCTGATTGTATAAGGGCCGTTTTCTTCAGTTGCTGTTAAAATTTATCTGCCCTTCAAACATATTGTTTGAGAACAAAATTTGGCTGTCAACTCAGAATCAACAAAATTTATGTTTAAAGGGCAGATACATTTTAAAGGCTACTTGAGAAAATGGCCTTAACGAAAGCAAATTTAGGTTTTCTGTGAAAACAGATAAAGAAAACTATTTACCAGTGTTCAAACAGTCTCAGATTAAAGGGAAACAAACATTCAAAGAAGAGCTGGAAGAAGTTAATCCAATATCTGGCCTGTAATATCTTGTGACGTATGAACCCTTGTCCGAATCTCTTCGTACAGCTATGAAAGATGTAGTTGGTTGCTACCACCCTGGCAGGAACAGCTGCGAAAGATGTGGTTGGTTGCTACCAGCCTGGCAGGAACAACTGGTATGGCGAAGAGTGCTATGTGCTGTTAAAAAGCCACCCTTCACTCAATAGCCATGGGAGAAAAAGAGGGATGACAGACGTTTCAACGGAAAGGAAAGAAAGGTAGGAAGACGTGAGTGTGATCGAAAATTTTATTAGAAAATAAAGTAGCAATCAAACGGCTTCAGGACTGGAGCTAATTCCTGCAGAAACGAAGATGAAAAAGTGGTTACAGATTAAACTTTACATATAGTCGGTGCTACTGCAAAACGGTCTATGTCTATTAGTACCCGTGACACTTAGATGGTCTCTTACTTGCTCCGGAATGCATCAGCAAATCGTTATACCCTAATAAACAAATGACAAAACTGTCTAACTTTGGCTGATGAAGATGAACGATTGCCAGAAGCGATCAGATACAGGTAACAGATTAACTAAGCACCAGAGGTAATAAGTGACATAGAACGCCGCTAGACCACGCGGCTTAAGAAAAACAAAGTCCCTGTAGCCGACGGAAAACCGGCAGAGCTGTTGTTGTTGTTGTTGTAGCAGCATTCCCACGACAGTCGGGTCTACGTAACCGGAACGACCCAGATTTATATCTGGCCAAGGACTGTCACTCCAGCAACACTCCCCAAAAAGTCTTTGGGGAATTTGTATGCTGCTACAACTGTCGTGGGAACGCGACACGACAGTCGGGTCTACGTAACCGGAACGACCCAGATTTATATCTGGCCAAGGACTGTCACTCCAGCAACACTCCCCAAAAAGTCTTTGGGGAATTTGTATGCTGCTACAACTGTCGTGGGAACGCGACACGACAGTCGGGTCTACGTAACCGGAACGACCCAGATTTATATCTGGCCAAGGACTGTCACTCCAGCAACACTCCCCAAAAAGTCTTTGGGGAATTTGTATGCTGCTACAACAACAACAACGGCAGAGCTGTTCAAAACCGGCGGTGAAGTGCTGACTAACCAGTCGGATGTTAATGGGAAAATGGTCGGATCAATACATGCCCGAATTATCTCAGAATACTTTACCGAATCAGCAAGAAGAGAGCTTTGAGCCATTACCGGGAGTCAAGCCTTCTCAACAGGAAATACTAAAATCCGCCTTGAATTAATTGAATCGGCGAATCTTAAATTTTGACCAGATTTTCCCAGTACTTCAAATCCTAGGAAAACGCTTTATGGACAAGTCGACACATACAAGCTGCTCTACGAAGCCATGACTAAATTTGCGATCCTGGCTAAACTAATCGGTTATACAGGGTGACGTTCAGCCCAACTTCAGCTTATGAAGATACATATGTACCATTGACACCGTCGGCCTAAAAACCAAGTTCATACGTGCCGCATTCTCCGTTTTAGAGTGGGTGGCAAAAGTTGGCAGGAGACATTGTACCACTGGCAATACACATACATGTTACAGTTAGAAGTTACAACTTTGAAGTAGTGAAGGACTTTGTTTGCCTAGGGTCCAGCATTAACTCCACCAATAATGTCAGCCTGGAATAAAGCGAAGGATAACTCGTCCAAATAGATACTACTTTGAACTCCGGAGGCAATTGAAAAGCAGAGCCTTTTTACGATGAACAAAAAACTAGCTCTATAAATCGCTTATCATGGCTATTCTTTTATATTTGGGGCTTTCTAGAGAAGTACTCCACGCAAGATCTAGAGCCCTGTTTATGGGGGCTCCGGGTACCGAAGAAGAGGGAATAAAAGTACAGAAAACCCTGTTTACATTTAGAGACGTTTTTTTTAAGCACACCACATACCGAAAAATGATTGTAGAGCCAATTGAGATAAGAAAGTGAACAGTGGAAACAGATTACATGGTTCATGTATACTTCCTGACCAAAATCAAGGAAAAGGGGTACCGAAAGCGCATGAAAATTAAACATTGGATCCTATTTGAATATTTAGTTTGTGGCCCTGCTGATGAATGATCTGTAATCACATCCAGCGGAACTATATACAAGAAAGTACATAAAATAGTCTTGCACAATCGGCACAAAGACATTAAGACACTGTCAGGAAAACGCAGACCCGACGTTGCGGGGCATCCATATTAGAAGGCTAGGCTTCTTGTTAATTTTATTTGGCGCTGTAACCGCCTAAGCGATTTTGACCAAGTTAAATAAAGCACGTCAGTCGTTTCTCTTCTGCCCCAACTAATGCCAATTGGAAATGCCAAGTCCTTCTCTACTTGGTATTTCCATCTCAGTGGGAGCCTCCCTCTGAAACGAAAACTAACAGGAAACCGAAGAGCAAGGGGTATATTCTGTATTGCGAATCTAAAATGAATACGATTCGAAAGGCGACACTGACTAATAATAGAAATTCATAGTACCAATTTTTCGATACCGAATTACTTGCTTTTCCAATCGCAATACAGAGTAGACCTCCAGCTTCTTTTGACGATGTTTAGCTTTAACGAGGACCAGGAGAATGATACTAGGAGAATATGAGTTCCCATTCCATTAGACTTCACAAAGTACTCACTTTTAACAATCATGAGGTTTGGCTTTAACATAGCCATAAGAGGCTTAGGGTACCAAAAGGGCCCCTAATTGGTTTTGAGCCATAAGTACTACGCCAACGTATACTGTAATACCCCAAAGTATGAAATGAATTTGTAGAAACATAAAATAAGAAATCACTTTAAATGGCAAGCGAGTGCCGTGTGTTATGCTTCATAGTTCAATTTTTGTATTGGAATTCTTTAAATGGCTTTAATGCCCCTTTACGCCACCCAAATTACTTAAGGCCCAGTAGAGGATAAATTTAAAATGCGCGAACGCACGGTTGTAATAACAAATGCACAGGACTTTTTCACAATAAATATTTTATTGCAGCAGCTGTTAGCCCATCTGCTTTATGACGTTGACCACTCCATTTAACGGACCAGGTTATCAATTGTTTACATCTGTTCCAGATTTAATGCCTCTGGGCAAGCGGTAATGTACAGTTTATAAGGACCTGTGTACAAGCGTACAAACGAAAAGAAAATAAACACATTGCCAAATCAATCTTGTAACCATTTACGGAATTTTATTACCTTGATATGTTGCCAAAACAATTTTACTGCTCTGCGACTTCCAGCGTGCTTGTTGGTGTTGTTGTTAGGGGTTTTCTTTATTTTTATTTGTGCCTCTTATTTTCCAATTCGCACAATTTTTTCACTTCATTTATCATGGCTGGCACACACATACTCCGGCACACACACACATACATATGTACATAGGCAGACAAATTAAGTTAAATCCGTGGCGATTGGAAGCTTGGCAGCTGATGCTTCTCCTTTTCGTTCACTCTCTCTATGAAGATGAGTTTTTAGAGGCAGTAAAGTTATGCATTATACATACATGTGTGTTTGTAGCAGACAAGAAACAATAAATAGTTTAAGGTAAAGGCAAGGGTAAAGTAAAATAAAAAGATAATGATAGAATTTATGTTAAACATAAAAATTTACATAAATACATATAAGAATAAAAATAAAGAAAATAAAAAGAAAAAATCAGCCTTCTATAAAGCGTCTCGGCCTCTGATCGACTTCACCGTCGCGTCGAGAACTTGGCAATGTGAAGTGCCAGACATCAGCGCAGAAATATTTTCTAAACCAATTGATTGCCTTTTGATCAAGGACGGAGAAACCGAATTGAAGACGGAT